AGTATAGATGAGGCCTGGAGGGAAAAACTGTGTATACAGGAGTAGGAGGTGATGAGGAGCTCAGCCAGACCGTGATGGGTCAGGGGGAGGGTCTTGGTGAGTTTGGTGGGGGAAATGGGGTTGTGGAATGTGAGGAACGGGTGGCAGGGCCAAGACGCCTGGATCACAGAGGGATGGTAACACCTCCTCCCTGGGAACAATCCTTCCTCAGCTGGCTACGCAAAGGACTACACCACAGGGGCCATGATGACCTTTGCCAGCGTTTTTGCCGTCCTTTTTAATGGCTGCACAGGCATCATGGCTGGCGCCAACATGTCTGGTGAGGGTCCCTGCCTACTGCCTCTTGGGGGTGTGGGGCTGCCACCCTGGGCCCCTACCTGGGTACTGTGGACTCAGGGATGTAGGGGATGGTGGAAGGCTGATCTCTCTCCCTCTGCTCCCCTCCCTCCAGGGGAGCTGAAGGACCCCAGCCGGGCGATTCCTCTGGGCACCATTGTAGCTGTCGCCTACACCTTTTTCATCTACATCCTGCTTTTCTTCCTCTCCAGCTTTACCTGTGACAGGTGCCTGGGGAGGGGGTGAGCCCTGCCCTCTAGGGAGTGAAGGGGTTGTTGGGACAAGGTTGATGCACCGGGATCACCAAAGAGAGCACAGGCTGGGGGACAGATACCCAAGTTGTTGGGGTAAAGGGGAAAATGGGAACTGTTTCTCCCAAGGGAGAGAGAGAGAGAGCTGCTGCTGCTGCCAATGGGAGGGTTGGCTAAGTGATAGATAACCCGCAGCCAGCATTTGCCATGTGCCTGGTACTGTTATAAGCACTTGGTTTGAGGGTGGGGAATGACTTTCTAGTCAAATTCCATAAACAGTCGGCTCCTTGTTCATATACTGCTGGGAATGTGTGTCCAAAGCAGCCCAACAAGGACCAATGAATGTCAAGTCCGTCCCCCTGGCATACTTGATCTGTTACTGTGGCCCCTGAGATAGGAGCTGGATCAGTTGAGAACAGTGACCTCTTAACCTCACACAATGTGGTGGGTGCTTTTCTCACAAAGACCCCAGGTGGCTGCACATTCTTTTCCATGTCTTCCTCTTTCCCTTCCTGAAGGATCCTGCTGCAGGAGGATTATGGGTTCTTTCGTGCCATCAGCCTGTGGCCCCCACTGGTGTTGATTGGCATCTATGCCACATCAATCTCAGCCTCCATGAGCTCCCTTATTGGTGCCTCCCGCATCCTCCACGCCCTGGCCCAGGACGACCTCTTTGGTGCGCTGTCCCCTGCCTCCTTGCCCAGCTCTGAGCATGCCCTCTGTGTCTGTCTCAGTCTGTGCTTGGCCCAGGCTAATGTGCTGCTGCATTTCTGTTTGCACAGGAATGATCTTGGCACCAGCCAAGGTGGTATCCCAAGGGGGGAACCCCTGGGGGGCTGTGCTCTATTCATGGGGCCTAGTACAGGTAAGCCTTTCTCTTTAATCTGCCCTTCCCCTCACCCTAGGCCCTCCCCGGGTATGCTTGCAGGATCAGGAGGAGCTAAAGTTGTGGGCTGGGAGATATAAACGACAAGGCAGGATGCATTGGCATTTGGTGGGGAGTAGCTCAAATGCCCAGCCTTTTGGTCCTTGTCCAGCTGGTGCTCCTAGTTGGGAAGCTGAACACACTGGCTGCTGTGGTTACTGTCTTCTACTTGGTGGCCTATGCTGCAGTGGACCTGTCCTGCCTGAGCCTGGAGTGGGCCTCGGCCCCCAACTTCCGGTGAGACAATGCCTGTGTCCCCTGAAAAAGAGGACGAATAGGAAGGACTCAGACCAAGGGGGGTACATCTGGGAATGGAATGGAGTGGCCTGGTGTTCAGGGCTGGCCCTGAGTGTCCTTCCTTCTCTCTGTCCACCTGCAGCCCCACCTTCAGCCTGTTCTCCTGGCACACCTGCTTGCTGGGGGTGGCCTCCTGCCTGCTCATGATGTTTCTCATCAGCCCTGGGGCTGCAGGCGGCTCCCTGCTGCTCATGGGCCTGCTTTGTGGCCTGCTCACAGCTCGAGGCGGCCCCAGCAGCTGGGGCTACGTCAGCCAGGCCTTGCTTTTTCACCAGGTTGGGGGATCTCAGAGGAGGGTGGGAAGGGGAGGAGGCAGTCTGGGAAAGCCCACCCTACAAAGAGGCTTCCTCTTCCCTCGGCTAGAGTTGGGGTTCCTGTCTGGTAGGTGTCCAGTGGGGGTTGCCCAGTTGAGCCCTTCCTCCCCACCACCTCACCCTGTCTCCAGGTCCGTAAATACCTGCTTCGACTGGACGTGCGGAAGGATCATGTGAAATTCTGGAGACCCCAGCTGCTGCTCCTGGTGGGGAACCCCCGGGGCGCCCTGCCTCTGCTTCGGTTGGCCAACCAGCTCAAGAAGGGAGGCCTCTATGTGCTGGGCCACGTCACGCTGGGAGACCTTGGTGAGTTGCCGCCACTTCTCCTTTGCTTCTTGTCTCGGACGTTCTTGTTATTCTTTGCGTCCCAGAGGCCTCATGCTTCTTCCCAGATGACCCTTCCATCCAGCACACAGCCCTGTCTGTCCAAACTTTTTCTTCTGCGTACTTGGGGTTTGGACTCTAGGAGAAAGAACCTGAGTTTGGCCCACATTTGCTGCCTTCCTTCTTCGTAGACTGCCTGCCCTCGGACCCTGTGCAGCCACAGTATGGGGCGTGGCTGAGCCTTGTGGACCGGGCCCAAGTGAAAGCCTTTGTGGACCTCACCCTCTCACCCTCTGTGCGCCAGGGGGCTCAGCATCTGCTGCGGATCTCAGGCCTTGGTGAGCTGCTCCTCCCGGGATCCCCTCTGACCCCTCTGTGGCCCTTTTCAGTCTCTGCTTCCCTCCCCTCCACCACCCGAGAGAGTCAACTACAGACTGCAAACCCCAAAACGAACCCACAATCTAATGCAGATAAGATGTGGCACTCAAAGATAATAAGACAGTATGTGATCAGGTCTTGGAATAGATGCTTAAGGACTAGAGATGGGTGACACATTACTTTTTTCTCATCCAAAAATTGGGGCACAGGCTCTGAAGACAAAGAGCCTGTATTTGTATTTCTGGGGACAAAGGGAGTATTATCTGAAGCTGGGGCTGCCCCATCAAATCTGTGACAGATGGTTTCTAACCACCCGAGTTCAAAGAAAGGAAGACCAGTGTGCACTTATGTGGCTTGCAAAGGGTTTTTAATGAGATAGTATCTCAGCTGGGCCTTGAAGGGGTGGAAAAGTAGGAAGGGCTGCAACACGGCCTCCACAAAGATTTGGAGGGCGTGTGGGGCTGATGCGTTTGGGTGGAGTGGAAGATTCCCAGCTTGTGATTGTTGCAGTGCTGAGGCCTCTGGCCTTGCACCCCGGCTTCCTCCAAATCTGTGCTCAGCTGCCTCCTCTTTTCTTAATCTCGGGGCTGGCATCTGAGCGCTCTCTGAGTGCGTGCTTCCTGCTCCGCTCAGAATCTGGCTAAAGATCAAGTGCTGGACGTTGCCCTGCTGGGTGTAAGTCAGAACCCTGGAACATGCTCAAGAGGGGGTGTGACTAGCTTCATTTGTAAGATCAGCTGGAGTTCAGGGGTTGAGGTGTTTTGGATGCTATCAAGCATTATGAGATAGGCCCTGGAGCATCTAAGGGCCCGGTCTCTTTCGTGGGGAAACCTGTGCCAAGCAAGAGACCTACTTTTAGGAAACTTAACCTGCAGAAAATGATTCAAATAAAAGCAAAATGATTTCCTTTAAATTTCCTTTCAACAAATTCTCCTGGCAACCCATTTGTTTCAAGAGAAAGGAACTTAGAAGAGGTCGCAGATTGCACGTGGGGGAACTAGGAAAATCCTCTTCGCTTTTTCACCTCCTGGAAAGCTCCAATTCATGACCAGCACCTGGAGACAAGTGACTTCCTCCTTAGTGTTCCCATAGGCACTTA